CCCACTGTCAGCCCCCTGCCCCCATCAGCCCCCCGCCCCCCCACTGTGGGCAATGACCGTACAGAGCCTGGCTCCCCACTTTATTCGTCACAAACTCGTTGTAAAGGGCTGCTGCCTGTGAGCAGATGGGAGACGGGAGCTGCAGGAAGAGCGTGTTAGGGATGAGAAAGGGTTTAGGGCCTGAGGGGGCGGAAGAGTCAGGTTTGCCCCAGGAAGCAGGGAGTAGGTCTGGGCTCCTAGGCAGGGGCAGTGGGGGCGGTGGGAGTGGGGGAGACCAGGGCCTCCGTTCCCACACCCCGTCCAGGCTTTCTCTGCATCCTTTCCACATCAGAGCCTGTTCTGCCCACCTGGGAGCTCCAGTTTCCCTGGGTACGGCCCTCCCCTGTGTCCCCTAACTGTTGGACTTCGGGGCACTGGGACCCCTGGGCTTGAGCTGGTTGGTAGAGACCGTGTGGCCATGACCAGGTCTGAGGGAAGCCTGCCCCACATGGCCAGTGGCTTTGATCTGGGCCTGGGACCCCCGGCCAGCAGTGGGGGCAGCCCATGCATACTGGCCAGGCAGAGGTGCCCCAGGCAGGCCCAGGGAGGTGGGCTGGTCCTGAGGCAGAGCGGGGGCACCAGGGAGGGTGGTGGACGGCCGGTCGGGTCACCCAAGCAGCGTTGCGGGTCTGACACAACAGGTGCAGGTGTTCAGAACTGCGACCCTTCCCCAGAGGTCCCCGGTGTCGGTCACGTGGCCTCCGGGGCTGCAATTCCAATGGGAAAACTGAGCCTACACTGTGTGGCTTCACCCTCCAGCCTAGTCCCACCAGGACACTGAGGCTGAGGGAGGTGACAGAGGTGAGCTCAGGCCAGCCCCTTCTGCAGTGCCTCGGGAAGGACACAAGCCCGGTTGTCCCCGATCCTCACGGCTTAAGGGCTGTCCACTGACCTGCTGAGACCTCCTGCTCCGGCCGCCGGTGGATGTCTCGTGCCCCCTCTGCTCCAGGGTTCAGAGCAGAATGTCCAGGGAAACTGCTCCAGGGGCCAGCCCGTCACTAGACAACCCTGTCCCTGGGAGCCTGGTGTCATCCCTGAGAGAGGGGGGTGCCCTCCCCTCTGGGGGAGCACTGACTGCATAGTTCAGAGCCCCTGGAACCTACCACCTTCAGAGGCTGGCACTGGCATCTGGCCCAGGAACTTGGAGCTGACCCACAGCATCGCCTCCCTTTTCTCCCTGCCTCCCTCCTCCCCCAGGTCCTGGAGCCAGCAGTAGCCCTCTGTGGCCTTGGGAGAGGTGTCCGTGCTCCAGCCCCTCCTGCTCTGTCCTGAGTCGCCGCCCACCCCTGTGGAGCGGAGCAAGGCCCCTCCCTACCCCTGGGGGCCACGTGACACAGTCCTGCTGCCACACTGGCCCCTTCCAGAAAGCAGCAGCCCCCTGGCCGCTCCCTCACCTGGTGCATCCAGTGGGGCGGGACTGGGCCCGCCCACATCACCCAGCTGTTGTAGGCAAAGGCCGCTGCTCTCCCCAGGTGGGGCCTAGGGATCAGGAGCCCTGAGGCAGGCTGGCTGGGCACATTCCAGGACTGGCTTCCGTGAACCCCATTGCCGCCGCAGAACTGGTCAGGGCTGGGATTTGCGCTATGGGGCTGGAGGACAGGGCCAAGTGCTAGTGCTGGGGCCCAGAGCCAAGCTGCTGGGCAGCCGGCAGCGGTCCCACACAGGGGCGCGGTGGACCCCTCTCTCTGTGAGGCCACACTGTTGGCCAGGACACCAGCGGTGCCCTGTCCGGGGTGGGGCAGGACCACATACATGGGCAGATCCTGGGCCAGCCGCGCCCCCTCTCAGGGCAGGAGGAAGAGGAGGAGGGGGCTAGGGCTACCCCAGCGGCAAGACCGGCCTTCCCCGGGATGGGCTCTGAGGAGCTGCGGCTGGCCTCCTTCTGCGAATGGCCACTGACCGCCGTGGTGGGGCCTGAGCGGCTGGCTGCTGCAGGCTTCTTCTACACTGGTGAGTTCTGGGGGCGCCACTGGGGACCCTGCGGGCCTGGAGCCCCTCCCCCTATAGCAGGGTGGGGCTGGGCCTGACACAGAGGGGGCAGGGGTCCCGTGGCCTTTCCGCACCTGTCCCCTGCCTCAAAGTCTCCCCTTGGGTGGCCGGTGCACAGGGGGAGTTTGGCTGGAAAGCGTGTGGGGGCGTCCACGGGGCCCTGGGGTCCAGGATCAGGCCTATAGCACCCCCAACCCGTGGACCCTGTGGATCCCCAGGGTGAGGGCTGCGGGGGCAGAGACAGGAGGCACCTGGCACACTCTCCTCTCTGTCACTGGGACATCCATCCAGGCCGTGCCCCCTGCCCCTAACTGTCTGCCTGCAGACATTTCATTCCCCTGAATGAAAGTCTGCACCACTGCCCAGGCACTACTATCCCCACTTGGCCTCTGAGAAAGTGGGGTGCTTGTGAGATCCAAGAATAAGGGCAAAGAGGGGGCATAGAACCTGGGTGCCCCCAGGGCTCATAAGCGACCCCTGATAGCCCTTGGCACATAAGGGAAGGCCACCTGGGAGCCCCCACAGCCCTGGGGGGACGCACCTGGCTGAGTGGGTGGGTACCAAGAGATCGGGGGTGGGCAGGGCCAGCATCCGTGCTCTGCCTAGGCCAGCAAGACAAAGTGAGGTGCTTCTTCTGCTGCGGGGGTCTGCAGAGCTGGGAGCAAGGGGATGACCCCTGGACAGAGCACGCCGAGTGGCTCCCCAGGTGAGCACCCTGCAGGCCGCTCCTAGGGCTGGGCACAGGCCAGCTTCCCCTTCCAGGGGCGGGGGCGGGGGGCCGCATTCTGGGGATGGGGGCGTCTGAGGACAGCATGTTTGCTGTTCCTTCCCTGACGCTCCACAGAAGTTGTCTCCAAAACAGCCTTCCCAGCAAGGGCCTCACCCTCCGTGACCCCCAGCTGCCCGCTGCAGGGCCCTGTGGGGGCACAAGGCTGGCTAGAGGGGCTCTCCTGCAGCCCAAGCCGTGCCACGGGCCTCCCAACCCGCTTCCTTCAGGTGTGAGTTCCTGCTCCAGACGAGGGGCGGGACTTTGTCCGCAACGTGCAGGAGTCCCGTTGCCACTGGCTCGGCTCCTGGGTGAGTCCTGCCTCTCCTTGGGACTTGGGGGAAGGGCCCCTCGCCCCTCCCCCCCACTCCTCTGTCTACTCTAGGCACAGGTGTTCTCTGGCTCCTTTCAGGACCGATTGGAAGAGCCAGAAGACGGGCCCCCTGCCATCCCCTCAGGTGAGCCTTGGTGCCTGCCCCGTGCTCTGCTCCCTAGGAGCCTTCGGCCCGCCCCGTGGTGGAGGCGATCAGTGCAGGGAGAGAGAGGCTACCCGGCCAGCTGTCAGGGGCCTACCCGGGCTCGCTCTGGGGGCAGGGGGCTGCGTGCGGGGGCACTGCGTCTGGGGCTGCAGGGGAGAGGAAGCAGTCCCCTGCTACCACTGAGCAACCCACCGTGAGCATCGCCAGCCCCAGGGCTGGCACTGGGAGCGTGGAGAGGAGATGCAGGTATACCAGGTGCCCCGCTGCCCCTCCGAGGTGGCTGTAGTTGTGAGCCCACAGGGGGCAGCGGCTGCTGTCTACACTGAGCCCAGAACTGCAGGGTGAGGGCCCGAGGGGCTCCTGGGCTCAGACCCCGGCTCTTCTAAGTCCGTTGCAAGTGATTTCTGCCCTGAGCCTCATCGCCCCGAGCCCTGAGACGGGGACGGTGCCAACCGTCGGGAACTGAGCCGGGCTACATGATGCTCTGGGAGCAGCACCCAGCCCCTTGCAGGGTTCTGTCCCCAGTGGCCTCGGCAATGAGCTTTGACTGTCTTTTCCACGTTGTGGTGCGTCTGAATCACGGGGAACGTCCCTCCCTGGAACATAGATAAGGCGGCCGCGATGGCCTCAAAGGCCCCTGGGGACCAGCCACAGTAGCAAGCCGCCGCCTCTCTCCCATGACCCTGAGCACCGCCCCCTGACCCCAGCCCTCCTCTCCTCGGTCCAGTGCCCCTCTCCCTGTCTTGCAGGTGCCGGGGACAGCCAGGAGTGGTCCGCACAGTGCCAGTGCCCAGCAGTGCAGGCCGTGCTGCGCATGGGCTTTGGGCCGGGCCGCGTGCAGAACCTGCTGCAGCGGAAGTACGGCTGGGCAGGGCCGGCTGACCTCTCTGCGTCCTGCTGGTGGCAGACCTGCTCCAGGAAGACGATGGGGACTGGGGGCCGGGGACCAAAGGTACATCCCCGCCCCAGCCTCTCCCTGCTCATCCCTTCTGGGCGCAGCCCCCAGGGCCGGGTACATGCTCCCACGGCCACAGTGCAGGGTCTGCGGGGACATGTCCCCGTGGCATGGGCTCTGGGGTTTACGGCATGGCGGGGGGTGGGCAGGAGGAGGGCTGTGGGGCCGGGCGGGCTCCTGCCAGAGCCTCTGGGTGGGGTTTCACGTCCCCTGGGGAGCCTCTGTTCCATTCCTCACCACCTACAGCTCCTGTCCACACTGGTCTCAAGCTGTCCACGCCCAGAAGAGAGGCCGGTCAGAGGGTGCCAGGGAGCCAGTAAGGGTGGGGTCCACCTGGGGGAGGGCCAGCTCCCCTGCCTCCTGGGGGAGGGGCCCTCCTCCATCGGCCCAGGACAGATGGCAGAGGTCTGGGGTGGACACGGGGTCCTCCTGGGCAGGGGAGCGCAGGCCCAGAGGGCACCACTAGGTTCTCGAACCCCAGGAGCCGGGGATGTGGGAGAGCAGCTGCGGCGCCTACAGGAGGAGCGGACCTGCACAGTCTGCCTGGACCATGCCGTGGGCACTGTCTTCGTGCCCTGAGGCCACCTGGTCTGTGCCGAGTGCACACCCGCCCTGCAGCTGTGCCCCGTCCGCAGGGCCCCCATCCGCAGCTGCGTGCGCACCTTCCTGTCCTAGGCCGGGTGAGTGGCCTCGCCGCCGCCCACGGGCAGAACCCAGCCTGGCCCGCCTTGGGCACGTCCTTCCCCGTGTGGGCCTCACAGATGTCTGGCCTGGATGGTGACCCCCCCCCCCCCCCCCCCCCCCCGCCCCCCCCCCCCCCGCGCCCTTACCTCCCCGGGGGGGCCCCCCGGGGGGGGGGGGGGGGGGGGGGCCCCCCCCCCCCCCCCCGCACCGGGGCACCTTATCTCACGTGATCTTAACTCCAGGGCGGGCCAGCCCGGCGGGATGGCGGGAGGGAGCACCTCGGATTTCATCCAGCTCCCCGGCCCTGGCAGGTGTGGCCAATCAGCCCACTACCTTCCCCTGACGCTCAGAGGCTTGCCCTGGGTCCTCAATACAGCACCCTGGCTGGCCACCACCGCTCTGCTGGGGCACCTTAACCGTACCAGCCACGCCCAGCTCTGCCTCGATGTCCCCAGTGATCGGGGGGATAAGGCCGCCTGTCCAGCTGGGTGTGTGGGCCGCAGCCGGGCCCAGGGGAAGGAGCTCCAGCGGTGCACTGCCGTGAGGAGGGGCGGCCAGGCGGGAGTGCGTGACGGGTGTGGGAGGGAAGCGTGAACCTTTGATTTTTACAGCTGGCAGAAAGCTTGGCCTCCTGGTTGTCAAGGGATTCTGTGCCCCTCCCCCACCTCTCTGAGCACCTGCGGGGGGGCTCCAGTGGCTGGGGAGGGAGGGCCTGCAGGCTGAGGTCCCTGGTCCGTGGACAAGCCAACAGGGCACAGCCCATTCGTCCTTCCTCCTCTCCCAGGTGCTTCAGGTGCTGGCTGCCACGCGGACGCCCTGCCCATCTCCGCCTATCCCTCGGGCCACAGGGCAGGCCTGCTGAGGACAGCTGAGCTGGCAACCAGAACGGGCCGTCCCCAGTCCCCAGCCTTAGACCAGGGTGGAAGGGAGCTGCAGACGTTGTGGCGAAGGGGGTGGGTCTAAAGCTGGGTTTTCTGATGCTCGGGCGCTTTGGGGGATTCACAGTAAAGTGGTGGGTTTTCCCTGGACCGCGCTCAGCAGCCTCTGTTCCAGATGTGCCGGCCCCACCCCACCCGCTCACCAGCAGGGCGGCAGCCAGACATCTCCCGGCATGTCCCCCCACATGCCTCCTCGTGCCCGGCGGGGCCCCTTCCGTCCCCTCTCCTCTCCCTCATTCTGTTCTTCTCAGCATTGTGATGACTTCTAAAGCCACCTAGCCTCAGGTCACTTCTGAGACTGAGCTTGTAAATGTCCACCAAATCCTGCCTCTCGGGGAAGGAGGTCTGCGGGGCAGTGTCCTACTTTCTACATGGGGGCACTTTGAGGATGCTGTAGGACCAGGGCTTAAACCCTTTCTGTGAATAGCACCACTGGCCAAGGACAAGGAAGGGCCCTGCTCTTGGACAGAGGGGGCCTCTGCCCCTGGCCACACCCAGCCGCCCCCCCAGGGCTCCATCAGCGGCCCCCGGAGCTGGTGGGGACTTTGCCTGGGTGACAGCTCACAGCAGCCCGGGTATGCCGTGTTTAACCAGGAACCTGGCTGCTTGGAGTGGTGGTGGGGGTCACTGTGGGTTTACACTGACCTTCGTGGTGGGGTCACACTTTCCTGTCTCAGAGTCCTTGCAGCCACCCCTCCCCCAGCCGCAGGGCATGCAACCTTGGGGCAGGGGGTTGGGGGGTGGGGTGCAGCAGGACTGGTGTAGGCACCCAGGGAGGGCTCGTCAGACGGCAGCCGGGCCAGCTGGGGGTGCGGGCAACAGAGATCCCGGGGCTGCTGTAGTCTTCTGTATCTTCTCTCTCTCTCTCTTTTTTTTTTTTTTTCAGAAAAAGGAAATTATAAATTCTTCTGAAGTTGTAGCCATCCCCAGGTTAGACCTGGCCCTGATGGCCTGGCTGGTGTCTGGTCACTTGGCCCTGGAGGCAGAAGGGAGGCCAGAGGAGTCTCCCCGCAGTCTTTGGTGGTCCTTGGGGCTGGAGGTCACACACAGAAGGGACTGGTGCTTCTCACTTACGCAGGCCTGTGGGGGCAAGGGAGGGGTGGGCAGAGCTCAGAGAGCCCTGAGCAGCAGCCCTTGGCACTGGGGCGGGAAGGTTGGGGCAGTCAGCCATCAGTAGGAGCTGCCCCCTCTGCCTCGGAGAGCCCCAAATGCAAAAGGAACAACATCCCAGCAGAGGGTTCCTGGCCTTTGGCTGGGGTGGGGCTTCTGGGACCCCAGCCTTGTATCTGCAGACAGCAGGGTTTGGGCCACGAGGCTGGGGATGTGTGTTGAGGGGCCCTCCCAGCCTGGCGAGCCCCTCCAGAGCCCCGCATGCCCGGGGCAGTCTGCTCTCATCCTCTGCCCAGGCTGGGTGGCCTGAGCGAGGGCTCTCCTGTTACAGAGATGGGACACTTGCCACCCCTGACGGCCCTTGGCTGAGATGGGCTTTCACCTGTAGGACGGAAAGGGTGTGGCTGCCGAGAGGGCGGGGACCCTAGGGGAGGGCCACAGGGGTTGCCTCGAGGGCAGGATTGTGTCCAAGGGCCTCGGTGGGATGGGAGAAGGGGAAGCGAAGCGCAGCTCCACGATGACAAGGACCCTAGTTCTTGGACCCCAAGTTTCAGGATTGTATGTGGGACCTGGCAAGGGCTGCTTGAGAGGAGGTGGGCAGCGCCCAGTTACCCCCATCCTGAGCCTGGGGGCATGCAGGGTCCTGGACACTGCTTTTTAAGAGGAAAGAAGTCTGATTCTCCAAAGAAACCAACACCTCAAACTTCCTGCCGCAGTGAGACCCCTCGAGAAGACGTCGCCCTCCTGTGAGGAGGTCTCTCCAGCACCCCCAGCACAAAACCATCTCAGACCCAAGTCCGTGGACTCTGCCAGGCTTGCAGCTCCAGCGGGCAGGGGCCACGCCCCAGAGCCTCGGCTCTTCCACACCCAGCACAGAGCCGGCACAGAGCCGATCTCGGGGAGCAAGGAATAGGTGGACGGACGGACAATAGACAGATGGACAGATAGGCAGACGGATGCCTGGTGAGGATTCCACAAGGAGAGGAGCCTCGCAGCTACGCTAAACCAACTGGCCAGGCCCAGCCAGGGGCGGGCTCTGCTGGCCATGCTTACTAGTGCGCCTGCTCAAACAAGAGGCTGGAAGGCTTCTCCTTGACGTGGCGGAGAGGAAGTGGGTCAAATCCACCAGTGAAATCCACTGAAAGGAAACAAGACCCAAACAATGGAAAAGATGGCATGCCCAACCACAAACCTCTGTGTGCTGATGGCAGAGGCGGGGCGAGCCTGGAGGGCCCCAAGGGGAGGGCAGGCACCGCCCCAGGCCCGGCCCGGGCCTGGCCACGTCCCTCTGGAGGATGGACAGTGTGACTCCCCAGGCAGAACGTTCCGGTGGACACTGACGAGCTCAGCAGGGGGAGGCAGCCTGAGGGGCCGGTCTGGGTCCTCAGGGCTGCGCGGCACCTCACTGTGGCCCAACCACTGCCCCCCATCACGTCCACGAACATCAGCCACCTGCCCCTTGAAGCTGTGTCTGCGCAGCTGGCGCATGGCTGGGCTTGCTGGGCAGAGGTGATGCATTTCTGAACCGCAGGGCTGACTCCCATGCCGGAACGTTTTAATGTAACCAAGATGTGAATTCCCCTTAGTTTTCTCCCAGCCGGCAGTGGTCTGAGTGATGGTTTGGGGGTCACGCGGCATGAGAACTGGGGGACCTGGGGGCTGGTCCAGAGCCAGTCTGGTCTCCCAGTATAGGAAGCCATTCGGGCCCCAGAGAGGGCTCTGCCCACGGGAGCAGTGGCCCCCAGGTGCACCCAGGCCCAACCCACCCCAGCCTTGTCTTCTGCAGAGTCTTTCCAGGAAATCGTGTCCAAGCCAGGGGTAGTCAGGCCTGGTAAGCGTGCCTGAGATGTTGCAAATCAGAGGAAGGTCAAGGGGGTCCCCCTCTGTGAGCAGAAAGCAAAAGTGCTGCTCAGACGGAACCGGCTGGCACTGAGGCCTGACGGGGTCCCCAGAGCCAGTAGGGCCTGGTCTCTCAGGCTGAGGGACACAGAGCGGCCCACCCCTCTGCGGGTCTGAGGACTGAACCTCTGCCTGCGGCTGCTGTGGGGACTGTCGTGTGACCTGCCCTGCAGTCCGGGAGCCCTTGGACCTGGGGGCTTGGGTGTGAGCTGAGCCCTGGTGCCCAAAGCCCGGGGACCCTCTCATCTGTTCTTAGGTGGCTGGGCCATCCTCCGCTCTGCTCAGACACGGACCCCCGAGGGCAGGGGGATCCACCTAAGAGGCGAGGTCTCAGGCTTTGCCAGCAGAAGTCCAGGAGAACGCAGAGTCACCACCTCTGTGTCCAACCTTCTGCTCCCTGCCCACGGCCTGGCCGGTCCAGGCCAGGTCACCAAGAGGCTGTTTGGGCACCCGGGGGACACACACTTACAGCTGTCCTCCTCGGTGAAAACGCTGACCATGTAGCAGGCGTAGACGAAGGCCAGGAGCTGAAAGAGACCGAGAGGCCGGGATGAGGACAAGGCAAGCTCGAGGCACGGGGGACAGAAGCCCCAGGGTGTCCTGACCATGAGGCCACAGCCCCTGCCAGGCCTCGGTTTCTTCATCTGTAAAATGCGCAAGGAGAGCGTGTCTGTGGGACTTCCTCAGCTTCAATGATCCAAGTGGCATCTGACTTCCCTGCGGGGGTATGAGCAGGGTAAGTACTGGCTAGTGGTTGAGTCCAGAAGGTGACCACCTGCTTTAACAGGAGGCTGAGGTGCAGAGAGAAGCCTTCAGAGACACGACCACAGCTGATGGACCCCCAGACCGAAGCCCTCGCCCCAGTTCCAGCCCGGCCATCACTGTGGGGTCCTCTTGCCGTAACCAACCACCAGCTTTCTCCTTCTCGGGGAGGGGGTGCCCACACGCAGACGCGGCTGCAGAAGTCAGAGCCAGCCAGGCCGGATGGTTCGGCTGCAGGTGCCAAGGACCCAGCTCGGCGGGCAGTTCTGGACAGAGTGGACAGGGCTGGTTGCTGTCCTGAGGGAGTCAGGGGCTTGACTGGGCAGAGGCTCCCCAGCCAGGCCCGCGGGAGGACACTCAGACTTCAGGGGAGAGGGCAGGTGGGCATTAGGTGCCCCACGGACAGCGAGACACCAGGACCACTGTGGGAGAAAGGGCTCCAGCTGAGACGGAGGGGGCTCGCACTGCCTGTGGTCCAGTCTCTCTGCACTCATGCGGCCCAGGCGATGTAACCAAGGGTTAACACCTCCCGAGGGTGGCATTCACGCCGTCGGGGAGCTGCATCCTCCTTATGGGAATGAGGGGACCAGCCCTGACTCGCAGCCAGAGCCCAGGGTGGGCCCTGAGCAGGACTGCTTGTTTCTAACATGCATCCCCGTGCCACAGGGCCAGAGGTTCCCAGGAAATGCCCACGGCCCTGTGTGCTCACAGGGCCTTGGGAGAGGCTGGCAGCCCCAGCTCACCTGGGAGGCTCTGCCCAGGGAAGCAAAGCCAGCCTCCTCCACAGATGCTGGGAAGCTGCAAGGCCGCTGAGGATGGTGAGGTCATGCTGTCGGGCATCCGAGCATCTCCCATACCAAGCCGTGGTCTCCACCCCAAGGATGCAGCTTGGAGCAGGAGTCTGATGGCGGTGGCTTGGGGGTGCTGCATCTGACCCTGCTCCACATTCCCCACCCCTTGTGGTGTGGATGGTGTCCATGCCCCAGCGTCCTCCTGCTTGGGTCAGCCAATGGGGAGCCCAGCAGGAGAAGGAGGGAGAGAAACAAAGCGTGGACCCCTCTGTCCCTTCTCTGCAGCTCTGCATCCCAGGGGCAGGGGGACAGCTCCAATGAGCTCTGCCTGGATGTAACTCCTCCCCACACCCCTGCGGGCCAGAGGGCAACGGCTCCGTGCCTATATACCCCAGGGGAGTGGGATACGCTGGTTGTCCCTCGCATGGCACCCAGACTTGGAACAGCCCCTTCACCAGCCCCTGGGCATTAACCCAACGAAAGGGCACCACCTCGGTCTTGCAAGGATCCTGACTGGTCGGGGGGACAAAGAGAAAAGGTGCTTCACGGGGGGCCTGCTATGGAGAGACGGCACAGCAGACCTTCTGAGAGAGGGTAGTGGGGTCTGTCTGTGAGACTAGCACAACCCAGGGTGGGGTAAGAAATGGCATGGGGTGGACGGGAAGGTGGCCAGCAGCACGGTCTTGGAAGCAAGGGGAAGGACAGCATTTCCAGCTGCCTCCCCGGGGACGGCCGACCCTCCATCTGTGACGGTGAGGCCTGAGGGGTTTACGTAAGCTTTGGGTCGTGGTATCTTCACACACAGATCAGGCCCAACAGTCCCCCCTCGATGCCACAAGCCGGTCTCCTCCCCCTCAAGAGGGAAGCTTGAGGAGTCCTCTAGAACTCTTATGGGAACCTGGTGTCCCTCCCAGGAAGGGCCGGGCTGGAGCTGGCCGTGGTGCTGAAGCCTCTTCCCACCCACCCACCCCCACTCTCTTCCTCCACAGGGTCCTGGGGAAGGACACCCCATGAACCCACCTCTGCCTTCCCACCTCCTGTCTGTCCCCTGCGCCCCACTCCCAGCTGCTCCCCGAAGCTCCCAGAAGCCCATGGTACCTGCAGACCCCGCTCCACCAGCACTAGGCTTTCTGCCTCCATGGCAGGTTCTCTCCTCACCAGCCAGACCACAGGCCAGCCAGCTAAGGGCTCGCCCCTCCAAGCCCTCCAGAACAATCATCAGAGGGCTGACTCCTGGGGGGCAAAGCACATACCAGCGAACCAGTCTTTAGAATCTTGCATTTCATGAAAGAAAGTCCATCCCTGCAACCCAATGGATCCGTCTCTCCCATCGCCACACGGAACCCTCCTCCCACCAGCAGCAGCATGTTGGAAACTCCCACCAGGAATCTTCATTTGTTCTTCCCCAGTTTCCTTTGCGTTGCCTTTTTAAAAATTCTGTAAATGTATGGAGGAGTGTCCTTGCCAAGCCGGTTCTTTCTCCTTTCGAGGAAGCCGCCTGAGTTCCCACACATTTTCAGGTAACCATGACCCTCACTTTGTATCAGTGAGTGAGGTCTGCAGCACCAGAGGGAAGGGCGGCTCTGGCTTCTGGCCGTGGGGACAGCACCCCAAATGCCCCAGTCTCATCATCCGTTGGGCCTATAAAAACCAGAGAGGAGGGAATGCTGGAAGTGTGCAGCCACCTAAGCTGCCAAAACATGGCATGTGGACCACCACGAGCAGCCAAGCGTTGCCCAAGATTCAGAATTCAATTTCCAGAGTCAGCTGCTGGATGCCGAACCTCTGTCCTGTGAACCCCCCTGGACACAGGGATGTCGACGCCACTGCTTACACCAAGCAAAGTCAGGAGCCTCCAGATCTGACCAGTTCCCTCCAGGGACGCAGCGGACACACCCGGGCTGCTCCGTGTGTCCTTTGCGGTGCTCATGGAGCTACTGGCCAACACGGACTGAGCTCCTCCTGCAGAGCCTTGACCTGACCTCCCCCAACAGGTCCTTCCCCCACTGCTTCCCAGGCCACAGAACAGGAAGCTGAGACACGGGGCTCAAGTGGCTCACGCAGGCGGCGCCCGCCAGACCCAGGGCCTCAGCACTGCCCAGGGCTGGAGAAGCACTAGCCAGACTGGACTCCATTGTGAGGGTCAAGGCTCACATGGACACACACTCCAAGGTCCTGGGGCAAAGCCACCTGGCTCCGTGCTGGTAGGCCTTGGGTCCTGTGGTGGAAACGAGGCAGGACAGGAGCGAGTGGGTTCCGTTGGACCATCAGGTCAGGAGGTTCCTTGCCCGGCCTCCCCAGGGCCAGCAAAGCCTGCGGCTAGGCCTGTCCCAGGCCTAACCCGGCCCTGCACCACCCGCACAGCCTGCACGACACACAGCTTCGGAAAGGGGCCTGGGTTGGTCTCCAAGGGGGCAGCGCTTTGCCACGCGTGTCCTCCAGGAGCCAGAAGCCATCTGTGTGGCCCCGAGGAATTGTTTAGTTGCTGTCGTGGGTTGAATTGTAGCCTCAGAAATACATGATCAAGTCCTCACCCCCAGGACCTATGAATACGGTCCTATTTGGAAGCACTCTTTGAAGAGATGACAAAATTAAGACGAGGCCACCCCAGATGCTGAGATTTAAGGAAAAGGGATGAGATCTGACACACAAAACACAAGAAAGAAGGCTGTGTGAAGACAGAGCCACGTCTGCCGGTGGGGACGTCTGACACCGGAAGCTGGGACAGACCCTCCGCCCGAGCCCCTGGCAGGAACCGACCCTACGGAACCTTGATTTTGGAGTCCTGCCTCCAGAACGGAGAAAAACAAATGTTTCCAGTGGCCTGTCATAGTACTTTGTTACGGTGTCCCTGGGAGACTAAAGCGTTGAAAAGCCAGAAACCACCGGCCCAGCTGGCGTGGCCTGGCCACGCATGGAGCAGCTGGTGTCCCTTTCAGGGAGGAGCCCAGCGCGGACTCCGGCTCCAGGGGCCTCGCACACAATGGCCCAGCTCCTCCCAGTGCCTCTCCCTTCCCCACACAGGGAAGCGCCTGCACATGGCTGCCCGGCCAGCCTGCCCTCGGAGGAGCTCCCTGACCTCCCCTTCCTCCAGGGCCCTCCAGGCTGTCTGACCACCTCGGAGTCCACAGTCTGTTTCTTCGTGCTCCTTCCATGATCCCTAACCTCTGCCTCTGCTACTCACAACCAGTCTCGTTGTGTCACACAAGCATCCGTGGATAAGACACACACCCCCCCGAAAAGGACGCGGTCCCTGAGAGACCCCCTGCTGAGCAGCATCCTCGGCCAGACAGCATCCCTGTAACAGGCTCTGCCTCTGGGTGTGTGAGCTCAGGGCAAGCTCCAGACCCACAGGGTACACAGCCCACCGAAGGTGACACCTGGAGGAGGGACACCCATTCCATCTGGGCCCGGGGGAAGCCTCTAGAGGACGCTCCTGGAGACTTTGAGAGAGAAGAAGGGGCTGCAGCCCACAGGGTTTTCCCAGCCCCAGCTTTGAGGGGCCTGGTGATGGGGCCATGCTTTCCAGAATACAGAGGCCACATGCTCATGGTCAAAGCCAGTCTGGGCTCTGCTGACCAGACAGCTGTGTCCACAGCCACCTAAGCCCTGAAAGAGGGCATGGGGCAGATGCCCTTCCTGGACCCCTCCTGGAATGGCCTCTTCTGGGTATGAGCATCTTGCAGCCAGTTTCCGGGCCTTAAGTAAAACTGTGGGCTTCCACCTTCCTCTTCTTCAGATGGGTCCTTATCTCTCTGGAGAAGATGATGGGGAGAAAGGGCCTCCCTAGGGCTCCAATCCAGAGAGGTTGGGCCTTGTTGGAAGAAAGGGAGGCATCTGGGCCCCGTCTGCCTTGTCACTGCAGGGAACCAACAGCAGGGAGAGCCTGGGCTCCTGCAGAAGCTGCAGGGCCATCCTGGTGGATCTCCCCGGAGCTCATGCCCTGCAGGGCCATCTCCCACCCTGACTAGGGCTGACCTGTGCAAACGCTGAGATCCTCTGGAAATGACCAAGTGTGACATCCAAGACAGGGTCTCAGAGGCAATGCAGCTGCCCGTCCCTCTCCACCTGCTTGCCCTGTGGGACCAGCCGCCCTATGGTGAGGACACCCAAGCAGCCCTGGGGGGTGCACGCAAGGGAACCCCCTTGGAACCAGCCCTTGAAGCCCCGGTCCAGCCTTCAGGTGACCAAAGCCTCCGCCAACGGAGGCTTCGTGAGTGATCTCAAGCCAGCACCGGTGGATTAAGCCGTTCCTAGACTCCCGACCCGCAGTCACTGTCTCCAGCCATGATGTTCCAGGATCCTAGGTCATAGCCGCAGCCAGCAGCTCCTGCAGACCCCTCCAGCAACACGCTCCCCACTCTCACCGGGCTTCCGTTCCCCGTCCACATGCTAGGGACACGAGGCAGGCACAGGAGGATGAGACATGGACCTCAGCCACGCCGTGTGCCCGCACCGTGTGCCCGCACCATGTGCCCCACCCGACGGCAGCCTGCCAGAGGCACGGGCGCCAAGCAGCCGTCTGCCGCTGAGTTCAGACTCTCCCCTCAGAGTGGGGTCCCCGAACGTGGGTAGAAGTAGCTCCTGGCGCCCCCTCACGGGCTTCAGGAGACTTGGCGCTTCTGGCCTGAATGCAGATGGTGGAGGGCGCCCTGCAGAGGACCCCCGCTTCCCAGGAAGCTGCGGCTTCGCTCCTCCTCCCTCCTGCCCATCTAGTCCCAGAGCCCCTCCATGGGGGTCAGAAGCCAAGTGCCCAGACCTCCATGGTGGGGAGGGAGTGGGGAGAGAACCGTCTGGGTCGCAGAAGAGAAACGGGCTTGGAGAAGCCACCGGTTTATGGCCGGAGTCTGTCCGGGCAGCTTCCCCAGTCCCCAGTCCCCAGTCTGGAGGGGCAGAGGGGGCCGGGCGCTGGCCCAGCTCCTGAGGCCTGAGATGCTCCTGCCCACGCCCGGCCCCTGCATTAAAACACTTCTCTTTTCAGGGCTTGCAGATAAAATACAGGACACCCACTTAAATGCGAATTTCAGATACACGATGAACCACGGATGTCGTGTACGTCACAAATCCCGCGTAGAGCGTGCAACGCTGAAACGTAGTCCTTGCTGATCTGAAAATCACACGGCACGGGGCATCCTGTAGTTGTACTCATGGGGTCACAACCCCTATCAACACAGCATGTGCAGCCCAGCTGCGTCTCTGCCCCCCTCATGTCAGGTGTCTGTGTGACTTGGAGGGGCTGTGATGGAGGTTTCAGGGCCGGCAGGGGACAGACAGACACCTTCATTCTGGTCCCAACCCACCGACAGCATCAACAGAGCCTCGGGCTCTGTCTTTCTCCCACCCTCGTGCCCACCCTGGGGCTGGAGCCCGTTCCGAACCTATTTTGCTGAGCAGCACACTGAGGCTCCAGGGGCCTGAGGGACAGATGGGGGTGGGGGTGACTCCTTACCTGTAAGCCCCTCTCCCACCCCTTTCCCCGCTTCCTCTCCTGCCCTGACCCTCCCCACTGCAGGGCCCCATGCAGGGCCGCAGCGTAGCCATGCCCCCAGGGCGCAGCCAATGCCTGGCACCAAGGCCGTCTAGGGACCCAAGACCAGCCTGTGGCTCCTCACGCGGGCAGCCTGGGCCATGCTCATGCCACCAGGAGCAGTGCGGGAGAGGTTGAAGGTCAGGAGCTCGCTGCTCTGGGGGTGAGGGTGGGACCAGGTGAGCAGCAGGGACACGGCCCACCCACCCCCCACAGCCCAGTGTGGGCCCCTGTGAAGGGGGAGGGGTGCCCTGCCCTCCAGCCAAGGGAGGTAGGGACCCCAAGGCCTGCTCGTCACTCCCCTGCAAGAAGGCCTCCCATTGCTTGCCCTGGCCCCCTACCCTGCTTACACCCCCTCCTCCAGGAAGGCCTCCCTGCCCAGGTCAGACCCTGAGGGTGTATTCTCACAGTGCTCTCGGCCCCTCCTTCATGTCCTTGGTCACCACTGTCATTTTAGGTTTGGAACTAACGTCTGTCTTCCCTGCTCTGCTGCCCCAGCTGTGGCCCCACAAAGCAACGGCCAGTCTGCCCCGCGGCGGAGCGGGGGTCCAGCCCGACCTGCACCCCTGGCTCTCAGCTTCGGGTGAGATAAAACCACCACTCTGGCAGACTGCGGCTTGGAGGGGGTGCCCGCCTGCCCGGGAGAGGGCGGTGGGCTTTACCAGCATCTGAAAGAACCTGCCCCTCGTGGTGCCCCCCTGCACCTCTTTGTTCCCCAGCCCTCCTCCAAGCCCACTGCCCGCACTGCCCACAGCCCCCGTCTACCCATCAAATCACAGGTCTTCCCCCAACCTTTATGAGTCCCTTCTGTGGCCCGGGGCTGTCCTGGGAGCCAGGGCCAGGGCTAGGGCCAGGGCCAGGGCCACGAACCGATCACGGGAGAGACAGTGACCCACAAGCAGCCGTGTATAATGCTCAGGGGCCCGGCCACAAGCCCTCGACTTACCCACCTTCGACAGTCCCCCCGCCTCCAGGAAGAAGCAGATAATGAAGACATTCCAGGTAACCCAGACGGCTGCCCACACAGCTGGAAAGTCGAGACGGGGAGGGGTGGGGAAAGTGAACTCAGGTCTTTTGTGGGGGCCAACCTGCCTTTCCTGAGCACCCTGGGAGGGGGCTAGCAGGGGCAACTCTGCTCCCCGAGTCTGCAGCCAGCACGCTCTGTTTGGTGACTTCCCCGAGCCTGCCCCAGACAGGGCTCAGGCTGCGGCGGCTGAATCCCGGACTCTCCGGGATGTTCCTGTGGCTTCTAGGGCACGATGCCGCCAGAGCCCTCCCACTGGTCATCCTGCACCCCCTGCCCATGGGGGTCTGCAGGAGCACGACAAACTCACCACCACGACATAGCCAGGCCAGTGCTGGATGGTCCCAAAGAGCCCCAGAATGACCACGACGATGTGGACAAAGGTGGCCAGGATGGGCGCTCACTGACAGCCCAGGAAGTCGAACACCTGCCGCTGCAGGGCAGTGACCTCGGGGCAGCGCGGGCGCCTGAGGGCGGCAGAACCCCCGCCTGCGTCTCCCGTCCGATCACCACCACCCGGCGCCGGCAATGGTCTTGGGTCTTCCAACAGAAATCTCCAAACGCATCCAACTGGCCCTCAAGTCTCACCTTGGGAGTGTCCCTTCTGCTTGGAAAGGTCGTCTTTGGACAAGCACCACCCCCCAACCTGGATTCCCTCATCCCCAGAATGGGAACGCCGGGCTGCTCTAACTCACGGGGTTGCAGGCCCAGCCACAAACCTGGGGCCAAGGCTTGCGGCTCTCGGACACTCTCAGCAGGAGTGGGCGCTGAGGCCCTGTGGAGCTCCGGTCAGCACCCTCCCCGTCTGCTGGGCTGTCCCCTCACTCCATGGACTGTGGCCGTTCCCGCTCTCCAGCCCTGCGGGCACGGCCAACAGAGGACCAGCAGAGGCACTCACAGACCTCGCGGAGCTCGATGGTTTTTAAGGCCTTGCTTTCTTTCTCTTTTGTTAGTAGTCCTCACGCCCAGCGCAGGGCTCACGACCCTGAGGTCAACAGTGGCGTGCCCCCCTCGCTGAGCCCGCTGGGCGCCCCAGGAACGTGATGTTTAATCCGCAGGGGCAACCTACCGGCTCTGAGTGCGTCCCGGCCCCAGCAGGCGCACACGCGTCCGTACATTCCTTCAGCCATTCTGTGGCCCTGGCCTATCACTGGGAGAAACCAGACCGTACCCAGGAGCACACACAGCGAGACCCACCGCACCCAGCACCTTCCCACCCATGCAAGACACGGCATGTCCAGCAAGGGTCGGAGGGGAGGGGCCACACCCTGGCACAACGGCGGCAGCGAGGGGACAGCATCCTGGCAGGGCTCCTGGCCGCACTCCACCATTCCCCTATGGCCCCACTGTGCGCCAGCGTGCCACCGGCCTGGGGACAGCCAGTCCCCGACCCAGAGCCAACTCAGCTGCATGGGTTGTGTGGGGCCACCTGCCGAGTCCCAGAGGAAAACCTCTCCCAGCAAGCCCCCCTCCAGGTCCCTCCCACAGGCTGGGTGAGCTGGAACCATGAGCAAGCAGGCCAGATGGGTCTCCAGGCGCCACACTGCTCCTCACTGCAGTGAGGGACAGACAGAGCCCAGCGGGGTGGGCCTTTGTGGACTTCACAAACGCCCTGACCCCCACAGGAGCGCCTGGGCCTGCCCCCACCCCGGCTGCCTGCGGGGCTCTGACCAGCCCCCTAAACAGTGGCCGGGGGTGCACCCGGGGCACGGCCAGCTCCCATGTATGGTCCCAAAGGGGCAGCGGCAGCTGTTTCCAGGTCTCTGGCTGCGGACATTCCAAGTGTGCCCTGCAGAGGCTGGGGTCCATCCTGGGAGACAGCGGGGCGTGGGGACTGGGAGCGGCTCAAGGGCAGGACACGTGTCTGCTCTGTGCTGCTCTCCTGCATGCCACAGCCTTCCTGCCCCACAGGCCCGCGGGGGATGGGCAGCTCCAGACCAGCCCCCCCCGGCCCCCACCGAGGCCAGGAGGTGACAGGCATCGTCTCCTGAGACGCAGGCAGTCTCTGAGGAGAACCAGGGCCAGCCAAGCCCCCACCTTCTGTCCCCACTTTGTTCTTAATGCCCAGCGGGTGTTGCTGGGGTCTGGCCAGTCACTAGACTCCCCACTGCTTGCCCTGCACAGGATGAGGGGTCTGTAACCGACACGGTCTTGAGTGGTCGGTACACATCTGGAAGGACGTGCGGCACCGACACTGCGGCTAAGAAGGCTTCAGTCGGAGTCTGAGACCCCAGTGGGCAGGTGGGACCCATGAGCTGGGCCCATCCCCTCATAGGGACGCCCTCAGAGCAAAGAGGAGGGGGCCAGGCAGCTGCTGGGAAGACCATGGGCCCCCTGTCCCCTCCCGTCTGAGGTGCCTGCTGTCCAACTTCGGCCTCCCTGACCATGCCCTGCGTCCTCTGTGCCCACGGTTTTGGACCACAGGGGGCATCCCTGGGACTACGGGTGTTCCTGCTTGGTGGCCTTCCAGGAAGGGGACGGAGGTCGGAGGGCACTAGCAGGCCAGGAAGGGGGGAGGAGGGCTGACTCAGGGCCGTGGACACGCCGGGCAGGGTGCACAGAGACCCAGCTGCCCAATGGACAGACCCCAGTGTTGCCGCCATGTGCTCAGGCAAGTCTGTCTGTCCCCTCCCGGGGCATCCATCCCCATCACAAGCCTGCGCCTGAGGTGGGGATACTCAGCAGGGCCTCCAAGCCGTGTGTCCTCCCCACAGAGAGTGGCCCCGGAAGGCCCAGGCCGCTCACCAGCTGGTGCCTGGCCTCCTGCCTGCCCCCACCCCACCCCTTATGGATCTTGAAATTCAGGACAGAGAGGACACTCACGCTTCAGTAGCTCCCAGAGCCTGCACTGATCTTCCAAAATGTAGGTCCCACCCCCACTCCCCCAACCCACCCTAAGGGCCCTGCCACTGTGCTGGGGGCTCTGGGACCCCGTCAGGAAGGAGCATCTGCATCCGCGTGCCCTCTGGCCACCAGAACCTGAAAATCAGCTCAGCCCGAAAGCACTTGAGTGTCACGGACACTGTGTCAGCCGGAGTCCTTACCGCAGCCTCACCTCCTGGCCTCGGTGGTGGGGGAGGGGGCTGGTCTGGAGCTGCCCATCCCCCGCGGGCCTGTGGGGCAGGAAGGCTGTGGCATGCAGGAGAGCAGCACAGAGCAGACACGTGTCCCGGGACGCCCCTCACAGCACCCCAAAAATGGGAACCAAAGGAAGCATTGGGCTTGGGGCTTCCTCCTCCCAGCACCTGAAGCAGGACTGGGTCACGGCTAGCAAAGGCCAGGAAGAATTAAAGAACTACCCACACAGGGGCGCCTGGCGGCTCAGTTCTCCAGCAGCTCGGGTCATGGTCTCAGGGTCCTGGGATCGAGCCCTCAGTGAGGAGTCCCCTGACAGTCCCTCTCCCTCTCCCTCTGCCCCTCCCACTGCTCAGGTTCTCTCTCTCTCTCAAATAAATACACAAATCTTAGAAATGCAAAAAGAATTCTCGGAGGCTCCACCTACAGGAAGAGGCAGCAGAACTCCCTCAGAGAAGGAAGCGCACGGTAGGGCTGTAAGTCATGGTACAGAACGGAGACTGTAGCAGCGAGTTTTCAGGGGACAAGGATGAGCAGAAACGAAGCCCCCTCCCCAGCACCCCCATCTCCTGGCTCACCACACAGCCCTTCAGGTGTCTGCGGAGCTCACCCCGGGCACGGGAGAGGCCGTCTCTGCCCAGAGGTCGCCCTGCGCCAGCCCATGGCCCAGCCCCTCATGCGCCCCATCGCCGGGCGGCAGACAGTAGGTCGCATCAGGGCTCGGATCCCGGAGCCCAGAACTTCCTCGGTTTTACAGATTTGGAGGAAAGAGACAGGTGCCTGAGGGCAGAGATTCTGCCTCTCCCTGCCTCCTGAGACCCCAGCCCTGCCCAGCACAGGTGGGGGATTGGGACCTGGAGCTCTTGGCCAGCCCCACGGAGGACAGCCCCACAAACCCGGGCCTGAGGGGTCAGGGCCTGGGTGGGCAGAGGAAGCCTGGCCAGGCCCAGACGAGTGTGGTGGGGGAGGGGGGAGTGAAGCAATCTGCAAGAGAGGCAAAGCTCTGGATCCAGGGGAGCAGCTAATCCCCAACACAGAAGGGTCTCAGGTGCAACTCTGGGCGCCGGCTGGCTGGTCTTTTCTCCTCCCCATCTCTCCAGGACAGAGAAAGGGCGAGGGGGCCCCATCCTCCCGAGCCAAAGGGGACAGGGCCGCGCTCACACACCCTTAACATACACTCGGGAAGTCGCAAGCACATCCCCACCCCCAGGCTCCCGGGCCTTAGAAATGGGCCGGCGCCGCTCACCCAGGGCCTGGCGCTGGCTTTGGAAAGGGAGCGCGCGCTCACGCACAGGAGCCCCGTCGTCCGGAGGCTCCGCCCGGGTCCTTTCCAGCCGCTCCCTGGCACCTGTCCCCGGCGATCGGGTCCCCGCGGCGGCCCCCACTTCCCTACGGGCGCACACGCCCAGCGGGGCACGGAGGTTGGCCTCAGGGGCCAGCGGGGTCGCGCGCAGGACGCTGGCTCCCCACCCTTCCCGGGCCGCGGCAAACTTCGGCCCCCGAAGCCCGCGGATCTGACCGTCCCCTGCGGGAGACCCCGCCCTCCCCGCACCCCGCGCGCTGGGACCGCGGGACCCGAGCAGGAGCGGCCACTCACCAGCTGGAAAGCGCGGAGGAAGATGAGCGCGCGGCGGCCGGAGCAGCAGCCCACGGCGTCCGCGCCGGCCCCGAGTCTGGACCTGAGCCACCCCCGCGCGCCGGCTGCTGGGCGCCTCTGCCCGCGGCCCCCGCCGCCCCGCATTCCCCGCCCGCCCCGCGGCCCTCGGCTCCACCCCGAGGCGGCCCCCGCCCCACAGACTCCGGACCGCCGCCAGCCGGCTCCCACCCGCAGCCTCCCGCCCCTCAGTCCCGGGCTCCCCCGACCCCCTGGCCCAGCTCCGCCTCCGAGGAACAGCCGCGCCGCCTCTCCCTCTTTCCCTCCGGGGCTTCGCGCGAGCCGGGGAGGGACGCGGGACCCCTTCTTAATCGTCAGGAGGCGTGGAGCGGCGACCGGCCGCGCTGCCGCCCGAGTACAGAACCAGAGCCCGGAGCCTGCCCCAGACCAGTGGGCGGAAGCAGCAGCCCTCCCCTCCCCTGCCTGTCGCCTCCCACCGAGCACCTCCTGCATCTGCCCCCGTCAACCTCCTCAACACCTCCCGGGGCTCCCGGCCAGGGTTCACAGCCCAGAGGTCCCCTCCCAGGTCTGAGGACTCAGGAGGAGAGGGAGGGTGGGATGGTCTACCAAGGGCTCACAGGCCCAGAGAATGTGGGGAGACAGGGGGGCCAAGTCTGTTCCAACTGTGTCTGTGCCAGGGCAGGGTCAGGTCTGGGGGTAGGGACACTAGGGAGCCCCCAGCATCGCAGCCTTGAGGCATACATAGGTCTTGTGCCTCTGAGGCAGGGCTGGGGGACAACCCTGCCATGCGAAGGCCTGGAGGTGGGACTGAGCAGGGTCAGGGCAGATGGGAGAAGGGAGGCAGGTGAGAGGGGATACAGAGGCTTTGCTTTTATCCTTGAGTCACAGGGAGCCCCAGAGTTCTCCATCAGTGTGAGCCATGATCAGGCTGGTCCTCGGGAAGTGACTCCTACACGGGGAGCCAGCAGGTGGTCCCTGAGCAGAGCACGTGGGGGTGTGGGTGACACTTCAGCCTCAGGCCATTGCTCTTGGCTCCAGTAGTCCAGGGCCAGAGTGCCAGCCCCATTGGTGATGGCTTCCATGGCTGAGCCACTCAGCCGGGCAAAGCGGTACTGGTGCTCACCCCACACGCTCTGAGCACCCCATGGTCACCGGCCCCTTCACAGGTGGGTGATCTAAAATCAGGTTCCCACGGTGACCTCAATCCCTGACCCCACCTGTGGGATTTACAAAGCACCAAGAGTTTTCACCAATACAATATTGGCTAAAGGTCCCACTGTCCACTTAACAAAAGAGCAAGGCCAAGGTCTAGAGTCCCTAGCAAAGTAGAGAGAAAGCCACAGCAGAGCTGTAACCCGGGGTCTATGGAGGTATGCGGCTCTCAGACCCCAGTAAGTAGAAGGGTTGGGAGGACCCGGTTTGGTGGAAGGGGGAGTGTTCTCAGGGGCTGTTTGCTGATGGGCAGGAGGGAGGGAGCAGGCAGAGTGGGGCACAGGGAGGTCCCTGGAGCTCAATCCGTTGGCCTTTGTGGGGGTGGGCCAGGGAGAAGAAGGGGCCTCTAGAAGCACCCCCCATGGGAAGTCTAGTTCCTGATGGGGATGATTCAGCAGGCTTGTGGGGGGGGGCTGCTACAGTGACAGGGTCACACATGGGAACTTGGACTCACCACCCAAGGCTTTTGATCTTCTTTGCAAATCTTGACCTTCAGAACACCCGGAAAGGGACTTCCTAGGAAGATGTTCAATGAAAAAAATAGGTGGGTTGATGTTACAGGCGATGGAGCCTCTCAAAACCAGCATCCCAGGCACGAGGGGACAGTGACTCTGTGCTCTGGGGCCCGGGCACTCTGGGAGTCCGGCAGCACCCCTGGGCTCTTCCACTAGACACATGGCATCCCCACTGGTCACGACAATCGAAAATGTTTCCAGACATGGACAAATGTCTCCTGGGACATTCCTCACTGCCGTGAAGTGTGGTTTCAGTTTTATCAAAAGGAAAGTGTCTCGGATGCTCCTGGGGACGGGGTGGCAGACCAGGTCACCAGCTGGCAGCGTGGGAGCCCTTGGCTCCATGGCTTCCCAGAATATCTCTCCCGGATACATTCTCCTGTCTGCACCAGGATTTGCGGGCGAGGGCTGTCCCAGTCCCATCTGCAGACGGAAGACGGGACAGCCCCAGGCCCACGCGGGAGACCACGATGTATCTGGAGTTCCCAGTCACCTGGAGATGGAAATGCAAGTCAAAACCACAAGGGGACTCTGCTTCACACCCACCAGGGTGGCCAGAGTCCACCTTCCCCGCGCTGCTGGGGACGTGAATGGTGCAGCCCCAGGGAAGGCTGTCTGGCAAGCTCCTTGAGACGTTGACTGTAGGGTCACCATGGGAACCAGCAGTGCCGGCACCAGCTCAGAAGAAATGGATCAGCCGGAGGAAAGCGTGTGCACCCGTTTGTGTAGCAGCGTCATTTGGAAGAGCCCAAAGAGGAAACAACCCACATGTCCTTGAACAGGTTAACAGGTCTTTACAAGTGTGGTGTGGCCGTAGGATGGAGCGTAGCTTGGGTGTCCGTAGGAACCGAGCCCTGATGCACGCGGCACTGTGCACGGACACGGATGGCATCACACCAAGTGAGACCATCACGGCGACTGTCTGCCCTTCCACCTGGAATCAGACACCAGGCGAGAGTGGGACCAGGCCAGCCTCCTCCTGCCAGCACCACAAAGTATCAGAACTGACAGCCATCACCTGTTCCAGAGTCCAAGTCCTCGGTGGAGGGGCTGGGGTCGGCCCAAGCCCCTGGGACCCTGAGCTCGGACGTGTGGGGTCTGCATGGGATTGATGGTGTGTCCCCTGCTGCGGCAGGCAGCGGGACCCCCAGGGCGCAGAGTCACCCATCCCGTGGACAAGAACGCTGTGACGCAGCCCGGTCACACAGTGGGCAGTGCCGTGAAGTGTTGGGACCCAGCCACCTTGAGGCGGTGAGAGTTCGCTCCTCACTCCACGTGCTGCTGGCTGAGCACTACAGTTCTGGAAAGCTGAGTGGTGCCAAGCAAGCCTCATTCTGCACGGACACCCAAGGTGAACACACCTGTCCCCGCCCCTGGCCTGCCTTGCCCCTGCCAGATCAGGGTAGCCAGAAAGTGCACTACGGTGAGTTGTAACCAAAGCACAGAGACAGGCTGCCTGCAGACCCCACCGGCCTGTGCAAGGGGCAAGGGGCTGCGGGGTGGCCAGGAGCCCAACACCCACCCAAAGGACTAAGTCCTCAAAACGAGGCTGGAAATGTCAACACCGCCCTGTCGCTGTGGCTGTGGGGAGGGGCAGGTCTAGGACAACGGGGGCAGGGAGACTCCCCTGACTTCCAGAGGGGAGAGCCGGACACTCAACACATGTGGGGCTGTTTCTTCCTGGGGGTGCCCAGCGGGGAGCTGCCGGGCAGCAGGGCTCTTCAGGCGAGCACTGCGTGCGTGCTTTCCTTTTCCTCCGCCGCGTAACCCTGCTGTGTTCACTTGCTACCATCCGGAGGGCTTGAAACAGCAGAAATTTATTCTCACACAGATCTGGAGGCCGGAAGTCCAAGATCAAGGTATGGGTGGGGCTGTGCTCCCTCCAGAACTTGAGGGGGGATCCAGCCAGGACCTCCAGCTCTTGTGGCTGCTGGTGGCCGTGTCCCTCCCCCTCTGTCCTAGGTAGCATTTCCTCTATGTCTCTGTCCCACATGTCCCTTATAGGGATACTTGTGACACCACGTAAGTCCCCCCCCCCCAGGGGAACCCAAGACAATCTCATATTGGGATCCCTAATTCGATCACATCTACAAAGATCTTTTTTCCTAGAAAGGTCACACTCACAGATTCCGGGCATTAGGAACGTGTCTCCTGGGGCTACGGCTCGAGGGCTGCGCTCGGAGAGGCCGGACGGAGGTTCTGGGACGCTCTCTTGGACCCTCCCGCCCTGCACCAGAAACAACAGGAAACGCGCCCAGGCCTGTGTGGGGTTGGCTCACCCTCACTATCAAAATATGCCACGTTCCCACACGCCCGGAGCCACGGAAATTGCCACGTGTGCAAGTGTTTTCAGAAGAAACTGGGAGAAATTTCTAACCATCCACAGACACTCCCAGAAAAACAGAGGCCGATCCCCAGAACCACGCAGAACAGGCAGCTTGGCCCCTGCCTCCTGACCGGGTCAAGGCCGCCCAGTGGGTGGTGGTCATTCTGCTCTTCCTCTGAGAGATAATGGCATTGGCCGCTCTCCGGGTGATCACAGAAGAGTAGAAAGAGGGAGCCCCTTTCTGCTTGTGCCCAGCCCCTGCCCTGAAAGGAGGGTCCCCCCACCCCACCAACAGCATGCGATGTGTTTCCCATGTGGGTGGGCTTGTGTCCCTGACCTGCAGGGGAGCCCGGTGCGAGCCCCTGGGAGCCTCCTCAGGGGTGTTCCAGGTGCCAAACTCTCCCCCATGGGGGCTTCACCCCCCCGACTGATGTCCCCGGCCACGTTCCCGCTCCCTGGTCCCCCCCAGTAGATGCCGCCACGCCCCCTCCAAACCACAGGATCCTTGGAATCCTGGCTCCATCCAGACGCAAACACCCCAGATCAGTGTGGCCTCCTTCCAACCCCAGCCGGGCACACAGTGATGCCCTCACTGCTTCTGGTAGCTTCTCAGCCTGAACCCATGTCTGGCCCCCACCTTCTGCCCTCCGAGGCAGACACGCAGTGCTGGGGCCTGCTTTCCCAACAGCACCCGGGTTCCTGTTGGGGGTCGCCTGTCCTCACAGAGGTCACACGGATGGGGGCGTCCATGAAGCCACAAGGCTATGCACACACAACCTCAGGGCATCAGAACACAGGGGGACACACTGATGGGGTCCCTGGGGTGCACTCTGGACCCTCCCACTTGGGCCGGTTCAGACACAGGGGTGGCACGCGGCCGAGTGTGGCCGGTCAGATGCTCACACGGGACTGCAGGTGCTGAGCTGAGCATAGGTCCCTGCGGCCAGCAGCTGCTGGTCTGTGCACCAAGCCTGTTCCTCAGGCTCCCCTGTCCTTCCTGGAGAAGCTCCTGGGCTTCAGGTGGTCCAGTGGGTTTCTGCTGCTGGGAAGCACAGAGCCCTGCCCTTCAGCGG